TCTGTCTCGTCGGATCCGTGTCCAATCTGTCTCGACTCCGTGTCGAATCCGCGTCGAGTCCGCGCCAAATCCGCGTCGAGTCCGCATCGAGCCCGCGTCGGGCACAAGAAAAGGACAGGCGAGGTCCCGCGAAGATGCAACCCCAGACATGCGACGTCCTGATTTTTTCAGGACGGCGTCCCTGGAAACCCCGACCCTTTCCCGGGGACCGGTTTTCCGTCCCGAGTCGTTTCTTGACGGTCCCAGGGCCCGGCCCCGGGGCCGGAAATAGCCACAAACCCACCGTCCTGTTTTCTAAAAGACGCGATCATGTCTGGGACGTAATTGCCCCTCTCTTCTCGAGGACCCGCCGAGCCAAGCCAACGCACGCCCAAGGGTCAGCCGGGGCGCCCCGCCGCGAACGCGGCGGCCGGCCACGCAGGCGGCGCGCGTCAGCCAGGCGGGGGGTCTCGGCGGCGAGCGAGGGCGGGAACTTCGAGGTTCGAACTTCGAGGTTCGAGGTTCGATCTTCGAGGTTCGAACTTCGAGGCGGTTTTGCATCGTTTTCGGTCTCTTGGGGCCGTTTTCGCGCCCCAGGGCCCCCGAAACTCGACCCGGGTAAAAAACCACGTCGGGTGGACCCTGGGAGGGATCCGAGGACCGATTTTGACCAATGTTCGGTGGCGCGTCCAGGGGGGAAGTGAGAAGGAGAAGGACTTCTCGGAAGGCGGCGGGGCTTCTCAGAAGCCGTCGCGCCTTCTGAAGAGTTCTCTGTGCCTTGGAGGAGGGCCCAGACAACCCCTCAGAAGGCCCCAGAGCTTCCGAGCCTCTTGATGAAGGGGCCCTGGGACACACAAATAAATACACACACATAAAAGGCTTCCCAATATTTTCCCATATTTTCCGGGTCTCTGTCTTCCCCCCCACTTCCCATATTTTCCCATCTTTTCTGGGGAATCGACGATTCATTGTGTCTGTGTGTTTTTCCCCTCCTGACTTGATCAGGCCCGCCCCTTCTCACTTCCCCCCCCCCAGGCCCGCCGCCGAGGATCGGCTCCGGGTGGCTCCCACACCTGGTGGCTGAGCCCCGTTCGCGCGGACCCCCCCCCCCCCTTAGGTGGGCGAGCTCCGCAGCTGTCCGCGCACGCGAGGGAGCTCGACCCAAGAGAGAGCACGCGCCTCGCGGGCGCTCGGCTTTGGGAACATTCGGCGGCGCATGTCGAAGCGGGGGGTGGGCTCCCCCCCAGCACTCGGCGCCGTCGATCAAGACCAGGGGGACTCCCCTCTCCCCCAACCCCCCCCCCCCCCCCCCGAAACACCCCCCTCTCCCCCCCCCCTCCCAGGGGAGGGGGGGGGGGCTTGAACCCCCTCTCCCGGCGCCGGCGGCCGCCAGCAGCGCCGACGGCGAGGTCACAGCGACTGTGACCAGACGCAGCCCAAGAGGGAGGGGGGGGGTTCACCCCCCCCCTCTGGCGCCGAGTGGAGGGGGGGGGTTTAAACCTCCTGGGCGCCTGCGCCAAAGTGCCCTCTCTGACCGAGGTGGCCAGCGATGCGAAACACACGCCTCAAGCAAGCGCAGCTGTACAGTGAAACCGCATAATAAGGATGCGCGATGAGGGTGCAACAGGGCCTTGGAAGGCAGCACTTTGCGAGCGGGGCGCGGCCAGCGAGAGCGGCCAGGGAGGGGCCGAGGGGGGGAGGATGCAAAGCCTTGGACAAACTCGCTCGTCCTTCCTGCGCGGGTCGGCTGCACAGGCGGAGCAGGCAGGAGACCGAGAGGAGGCAGGCCGAGGTGCGCCAGCTCACTGGAGAGCACCGCCTGCACGGGCAAAGCGCCGAGCCGGGGGCGGGGGCGCGGGAAGAGAAGCTCGCAGAGCACTCAAAGCAGCAGCCCGCGCGGCGGAAGGTGGTGCCCGCGACGTGCGACGCGCACGGCAGCAGGCACGAGGGACAGGGTGGGAGGCCTGCGGAGGGGCAAGCGTGTGGCGACGGAGGGAAGAGGAGAGCCAGGCGCCGAGGGGAGGAGGAGGAGGAGAAGGAGGAGGAGGAGGAGGAGGAGGAGGAGGAGGAGGAGAAGGAGGAGGAGGAGGAGGAGGAGGAGGAGGAGGGGGAGCATGGGAGGGCCAGCTCAGGGGCGATGCCACACGGATCCGCCCGGTTCTACAGAAGCGTGGCACAGGGGCGCTGACATGTACGGATCACCACCACCACGCAGTAGCACACGGCATCGAAGACAACACGACTCGCTCATACTGGAACGCGGCAAGAAGAAGAAGAACAAACGCCATAAGCATAAACTTTTGTCGCTCCGCGCGGATGTCTTGGATCTGCACTGGAGCGCGCCAGGGGCGGCGCCAGAGCAGCTGCCGGGGGGCCCCAGCGCGGATCCGAGAAATCCGCGCGGACCGCCAAAAGTTTATCTTAGTGGCGCTTTTTCTTCTTCGGGGAACGCTGTACTGCACGGCGCGCACTGGGAGCCCGCACCCGGAGGCCATGCGCCACACGGGAGACCACGCGAGAGAGCACGCGGGAAACACGCGTACACAAGACTACGGGAAGCCGCGGGCCACCAATTCCGGGTCCGGATCTTTGCTCGCGCACCCGCCTTGCAGAAAACACTTTTGGGACCCCATACAGGCTCGCTGTGTATGGAAAACCTTGACCCTCCGTTCTCCTCGTCGTGGTGGTGGTGGTGGTGGTCGTCGTCGTCGTCACCGTCGGTGCCGCGTCTGGGGAAACCAGAAGTGCTGATACTGCCACTCCCCGGACCTCTCCCGGGGTGCGCTCTGACCAAGATTTCGAGGCGAATCCGGCGGTGGGGACGAGGGCCTCCGAGGAGAACAAACAATGACATAAACATTAAGAGCTCGGAGGTCCGCGCGGATTTCTTGGATCCGCACTGGACCCCCCTCCCTGGCGCGCGGAGCGCGCCAGGGGCGGTGCTGGAGGCGCCGTCTGGGGGTCCAGCGCGGACCTCCGACTTTTTATGTTTATGCCATTCTTCGTTCCCCTACTTCCTCCTCTGAGCGTTGCCGTGGTCGCCGTCGCCGTCGTCGTCGTCGTCGTCGTCGTCGTCGTCGTCGTCGTCCACGTCGTCGTGGTCGTCGCCGTCGCCGGCGCGGGCGGCGCGAGCGCGGCGGGCCGAACGCCTACTGACCCTGCCAAGAAGCAGGCGCTCGCCTCCCTCCGTCCGGCGGGCGTTCCGACGAGCCGCGTGCCAGCCGCCGGCCTCTCTCCAGCAGCCGCCGGGCAAGCGGCTCACGGGTGGGGCCGCGCGGCCTTCTGCCTCCTCCTCCTCCTCCTCCTCCTCCTCCTCCTCCTCCTCCTTTGCGTCTTGGGTTCCCGCTGGTTCCTGAGTTCCGTGGAGTGCCTCCTCCTGGTTCTTGTTTGGTTTTTGGGGAGTTTTGGTGTGCTCAAGTAGGTATCAAGACACAAGAGGCCTTCAGCGAGGGGGAAGTGTATATAGATGGCACTTGCACCAATCACGCGAACTATGTGCTCAATGCTGCAGGTATTGCTGTTGTTTGTATGAGAGACGGTGAAGTTTTTACCTATTTTAGAGGCCGAGGCGGTCAGATGTTTTCGCAAAGCACTGGAACCGCGCAGCATTTGGCTGCAGAAGCGGCCAGACTCAGGTCTAGGGACACCGAAGCAATTTACTCTGTCTGCAAGGGAGTGCTGATGCTGCATCAAGGCACCGAGTACCCCCGTGTCCGCCGCTTGGCGGAAGGTAAATATGCAGAGGACCGTCTTGTGAAGGCAGCAGCGCACAAGGGCGTTCAGCCCAGACAAGATGAGATGTGCAATTTCGATGAATATAAGAAGTTCGTTTCTAAGTATCTCAAGTATGTGGCGCAGGCTCTGGGAGAGTGGCTCGCGACCGCCCCCAGCAAGAACAAAGGCCTGGCCGCCCCAGAGAAGAACCTTTCTCCCCCCACGGGTGCTGCCTCTGCCCTGACGTCGTGGTCGCCGTCGTCGGTCGGTCCTCCTCCTCCTCCTCCTCCTCCGTCGCCTGAGCCTCACGAGGTCCCTCGTGAGCCCAAGGAGCCTTGGGGGGTTCACTCGTGGGCGCAAATTTCGCAGTATTATCGTTGCACTCTGTGTAGGGTGCAGACGAAGCCATTCAAACAGAGAGCAGTTTTTGCGGCCAAAGAATGTCCTGGCCACTACAAGCAGATGTCAGACCTCGTGCATGATAATAAAGGCCAAGTTTTGTTTTATTTTGAGCACCTTGAGCATCCCACGAGTATTCGGGTGTGCCACAAGTGTGGATCCTACTCTGAGGGGTTGGGTCGAGGGCTCACTGGAGGCTGCGGCACTCGAGTGAGCCACCAAGGCGCGGCCACTCAGCTTGCCCGTGGCCAGGAGGGTCATGATCCCAAGGGCTCAAAGTCGTCCCCGATCATATATAAGACCCCACTATCTCCCTGGCCAGAGTGGTGAGCGAAGTGCCAGCCAAGGTCAGAGGAGAGGAGGCACCAACGCCTCCATAGTCGGCCGTGCTCTCTCACGGCGGACATCGAACACTTCATCAGCCATGTGCGTGTCCTCCTCCTCCTCCTCCTCCTCCTCTCCTCCTTCCTCCTTCCTCCTCCTCCTCCCCCCTCCTCTCCCTCCTCCTCCTCCTCCTCCTCCTCCTCCTCCCTCCTCCTCCTCCTCTCTCCTCCTCCTCCTCCTCCTCCTCCTCCCCCCTCCTCCTCCTCCTCCTCCTCAGGGATTGAGGGGCAACGATGAGGGGGGGGGGGGTGCGCGCAAACAGGGACCAGCGATCCACGGATTGGGCGCGCGGTCGCCAGATCCATGGATCGGGGGAGGTGCCCTCCCCAAAATGCGGCCGGTGCCGCCTCGCTGCGGCGGCGGAAGTCCGCGATTTCCCCTGGAAACGGGACCCGCCGCTAATCCACGCCCCCTCGATCCATGTTGGCGATCGCCTGAGATAGGAGGGGATAGGCATAGGGGGGGAACCATCGACCTGGGATCGGCGATACATCGCCGACAGGTCGGCGATAGGCCCCCGATAGTGAATCCGCACGTTCGTGGGCAGGTTGGGGCTATTGGGGTCGATGCCTCCCCCCTATGCTTTTCCCCCCTGTCGTTGCCCCTGTGGGATTCGTGAGCAGCGCCTGTCATTTCTCGGCTGCCTCGAGGTGGGCTGACGATGAGCCTGCTGAGGTCCAAAAGGGTCACACAGAGTCCCTCCCCTCCACCCTGCGTGCCCGAAGGGCGGGGGCGGGAGACAAGGAGAGCGAGAGAGAAGCAGACAGAGAGAGAGAGCACGGTAGCCTGGCCGCCGCCAGCGGCGGCGCTCCCCGCACGTACACGGAAGCCCACGCCGTTCCCCCTCCTACTTCTCCTGTTTCGCCTGGCCTGGCCCCTCCACCCCTTCCCTGCTCCCCTGGCGCCCAGGCCGGCGAGGGTGCCCCCGTGGCCTCGGCCTTCACCAGGTCCTCCTCGGTGAGCCCGGCCTCGGGCAGAAGAGCCCCCCCGCGTCTCGTTGCCCTCCCTCCTCCTCCCTCCTCCTCCCTCGTCATCCTCCTCCCACCCCCCCTTCTCCTCCCCCGCCCTAGGCCTCCGAGACGCACCGCTGCCCCTCCGCCGCTGAGCCCAGCCTCGGGCAGAAGAGCCCCCCCCCGCGCCTCGTTGCCCTCCCTCCTCCTCCCTCCTCCTCCCTCGTCCTCTTCCTCCCACCCCCCCCTTCTCCTCCCCCGCCCTAGGCCTCCGAGGCGCACCGCTGCCCCTCCGCCGCTGAGCCCAGCCTCGGACGGAAGAGGCCCCCGCGCCTCTTTGCCCTCCCTCCTCCTCCTCCTCCTCCCTCGTCTTCCTCCTGCCTCTCCCCCCTTCCCCCTCCCCCTCCCCCTCCCCCCTCTCCTCCTCCTCCTCCTCCTCCTCCTCCTCCTCCTCCTCCTCCTCCTCCTCTCCGTAGCCATTTTGGCTCAAGATCTCATGCTGGGGAGGCATTCGGCCTCCAGGCCAAAACGGATACCGCTGTCACCGCGGCTCGCTTCCATTTTCTTACGACGTCTGGTCCGCCCCAAGCTTCGTCTGCCTCCTGCGCCCGCAGGTGGGCAGGTTCCGTGCTGCACGGATATATCATGGGGATGCGGGAGCAGGCCGCTTGCAAGTGGCACTGCAAGACCTGCAAGAATGCTCGCACGGGCAAACAATCGTGGAACATGGCACATGCGAAGAAGTGCGTGCTGTGTGGATTGGCCAAAATGGTGGCGTTTGGGGGCAATGTCCAGCCCTCGGAGCCGTCCTCCCGCACCAAGCAGGCCAAGCAGTTCCCATGGCGAGAAGGGTCGGATGCTTCACAGGTGCAGGCCAAACGCATTCGTGAGCTTGAGGCTTAAGTCCGTGCGCTGCAGACGGAGGTCCCCCGTGGTGGCGCCTTACTCAGCGAAGCCATGCGGGTCAACGATGACGCCAAGGAGGACGAGGCTGAGTCACGTCGAAGGCTCAAGGAGGTCCAGGAGCAGCTGGCTTTCGTGTCCAAGTATTCTGGAGATGCCAAGGCGGGTGCTTTCGTGGAGGCGCTGCGTGCCGAGAAGGAGTCCACTCACACCAAGCTCCAGCAGTCCCGCCCGATGTATGCGAAGTTGCAGACGATGTCCAATCGGCTCAAGTCGGCGGAGAACAGGGCCGTGGCATCACGCGAGCGGGTGGCAGCAAGGGAAGAACAGTTATTGGAGGTCCAGAAGAGCCTGGAGCGGGCCGAGAAGGACCTACAGGAGCAGGAGTACGAGGTGGTTGCCCTCAGTGCGCAGGTGCAGGAGCTCACGAGGCAGGCACCTGCAGCGCCTGAGGAAACAGATCTTCAGACGAAAGGCAAGCAGATGCAGATTGACGTGCAGGCCCTGGGCAAGATGCTGGTGCAGCAGGGCCTGAGTGCCCAGCAAGCGCCTGTATTGGCGCAAGCGCTGGCGTCCAGCAAGGGGCCAGTTCTTGCAGCCGGAGCCGAAGACGGTCGTCAAGCCCGAGGAGATGCCTGCTGCCGTTGTGCCGAAGACGCCTGAGGCTGGCGGGGGTGAGGCGCCTGCCACTCCCGCTGCCGCGGCCGAGGTGGGCGCTGCAGCTGAACTCAGGTCATTGGACTCCATCATTGCGGACGCCAAGGAGTAGGAATTGCGTGCGTCCCTGGAGGCGCTCTACCCTTCGGACATGGCTGACAAGTTGCCTACCGATCTGGAGGGCCTTCGCGCGGCTGCTGGTCGTCTGGCCTCTCTGCCTTTGTTCAACAATCCCCGACAGCGACTTGCAGTCGTGCAGCGTCCGTACTGAGATGCCTCGCGACGGAGCGCCTCTATTTCTTAACCAGCAGGAAGAGAGGCGGCTTCTTGATGAGCAGTCTTCTGATTTCTGAAGGTCTCTTTGAGGATGTTCGTGCACCTAGCGGTGCGGTGGAGGATGTGGCAGTCGTGAGGCCCGTGGGCCCTCCGAGCGCCGCGAGCCCCCGTTTGGGGGCTGCCGCCGGCGCGAGGAGCGGAGAGCGCACCGCTGCTGGTGGGGCAGCGCGGGCGGGATCCGACTGCCACGAGGGACGGCGTGATAGCCAGGCGGGGGGGGGTAAGGGAGCAGCTCTCTGAGCACCCTAAGCCCCCCCCCCGAGGCAGGCACAATCACGCGACCTTTCCATGTGTGCCGGGACCTCCTTTTCACCCGCGCCGCCCAGTGCCCCCCCAGATGGCCTGGGACGTGTCTCCCCTGGGCTGGGGACAACGGCTTTTCGGGTGGCGTCTTCGGCTACCTTCCCAGACGGCCAGGGAAGTGTCTCCCCTGGGCTGGGGGCATCGGCATGTCGGATGGCGGCTACGGCTACTTCCTCAGATGGCCAGGGATGCTTCTCCCCTGGGCTGGGGACAACGGCAGGTCGGATGGCGTCGTCGGCTGATTCCCCAGATGGCCAGGGATGAGCCCCCCCTGGGCTGGGGACTTCTACATGTTGGATGGCGGCGTCGGCTACATCCCCAGATGGCCAGGGACGTGTCTCCCCTGCGCTGGGGACGACTGCAGGTCGGATGGCTTCGTCGGATGGCGTCAGTTCGCAAAGTCCTAGTGTGCCACTGCGGCTATTCGGCTCCGTCGCCAAGGGCGTCAGGTCGCAAAGCCCTGGTGTGCCATTGCGGCTACCGGGCACCGCGTCGCCGCGTGAGTCAGGGATTCCAAGCGCTGGTTATGATCCTGGTGAAGGTGGCCCTGAGCTCTTGCTCAAAGGTGTCATCACCACTGTCAACGTCGAAGGGCCTGGTCCATTTACGCTCTTCATGGAGACGTGTCGGTCGCAGATTGCGGTCGGTCAGGAGCATCGCACCTTGGACCAGCACCTTCCCTCTCTCCATGCCCATGTCCGAGGCTTAGGTTATCATGGTCTCTTTGCAGGCGCAGTCGAGACAGAGCAAATGGGCAGGTCTGGTGGCGTGGCTATTCTGGTTCCCACGCACAGTGTGATCAAGGCTCCCCTCGATTTATTTGGTCACGTGCTTGTCCAGGGCCGCATTGCCGCTGCTGGCGTGGCGTGGATGGTACCAGGCGGGGTGGTAATCGTGGCGGTGTATGTGATTTCGGGAGTTGGCATGAGTCCAGAGAACGAATATTTTCTCTTTCAGTTGGCTCGGTACTCGGCGGTGCTCAACTCCACCGGGCGTGGCTGGATCGTGACTGGGGACTGGAATCTTACGCCTGCTCAACACTCGCCTGGTTGGCTGGAAAGAGTTCGAAGTTTCCTTTGTGCACCGAGAGGCCCATTTGCCTGTCGGAGCAGCCTGGCAGCGTCCTCGACTATGCGCTGGTCTGCTCCAATCTGGCCACGAGGGTCAAGAGGCCCACGGTGGTGGACAACAGCAGCGTGAAGGTGCATCTTCCCGTGGATCTCCCTGTCCTTGATGGATATCGCCCAGTGTGGGTACGGCAAGTGTTTGAGCCCGCTCTTTTCCCGAAGGTGCCGCCGATGGGTTGTGCCCGTTTTCCGTATGACTGGCGGCGCGTGGATCGCCTCATCTTTTACGCTCGGGATGCTGAAGACCTGGGCATTGCGTGGGGCGCCATGCTTGCTGGTATCGGGTTCGAGCTTCAAGGCGTCTATGACTACGTGGAGGGGGTAAAGGCTTCTTCCATCTCTGTGCGGAGTGGCCCCTTGCGAACCCAGCTCGTGCAGTCCAAATGGCGACCTCCTCTTCGACGGTTGCAACATGGCGCCGAATTGCGGGCTTGGGCGGTGGCTCTACGATGGGCTACACATTGCAAGAGGGCGCGTGATCAGGTCACCACGCTGGTTCACGAGCTTCTGGTGTGGGAAGACGGGGAACAAGTTTGGATGGTTCAAGCAGATCACGCGAAGCTTGCTAACGTTTTGTTTGACTATGTTCGGTTTGTTGATGGGCTGCGAAGGTGCAATGACACTCTTGCGGCACTACCTTCTTGGGGGCCGGACTTTTTTATGCATGGCTCGTGCTTCGACATTTTGGCTGACGAGGATTTAGAGCAGACGAATGGCAAGTTTGAAATTGAGCATGACAGGCTTCGAGCATTGCATGAGACGCGTGACAGGGCCAGATGGAAGGCCTCCATTGACAAGGCATTTGTGAATGGTGCCAGTGGCGCGCATCGTCTTACTCGGTTACAGGCCGCGCAGGACATTGTCGAGGCTGGAGAAGAACAGTCTCCACATGAGCTTGCCGATCAGGAGATGGCCATGTGGATCAAGGTCTGGTCAGGGCACGAGGACGACGACGTGGAACTTCCATGTGATCATGTAGACTGGGAGGTGCTGCCGTACATTGCTGTGGACATGCCGAGGGAGGCGATCTTGTCATTCAAGTGGAAGACGGCAGCGGGGCCGCCTAAGCTGCAGCCTCGCTCACTTTGGTTCCTTTCGTCCGAGGCTCTTCGCGCTACTGCTGGCTACTTCATGAGATGCGAGAGTCTTCTTTCGTGGCCGGCCCAGCGTATGCATTCCGAGATGGCCAGGGTCCCTAAGGATGGGGGTGGGGCGCGTTTGGTTGCTTTGATTCGCGCTTTGGTTAGGCTGCGGGCTAGGGTCAGGCGCCCACCGTCACGGGCATGGCTTTGTAGATGCCCTTCTAAGATGGCGTGGGGCAACGGGGGAGTATGCACATCGCATCGTCTGGATCAGCCTTCATGCACAATGCGATGGCCGAGATGTCTGAGCTTCTGGGCGAGCATTCGCTCACGGTCATGATGGACATGTGCTATTCCAGGAGGCGCGAGGTGTGGGTTTCCCGTTGAAGCTGCTGTGGCAGCTGCCCACCTCCTACAAAATGCCTCGTGCGGTCAAAGGTTTTGGGTCCATCTCCTTTCTACGCGAAGTGGGACGGGGCGCATTGCCTGGCTGGAGGGTGGCCCCGAAATCCTCGTCGACCGTGGTTTATTATTCACGAACGATGAACCTAGGTTCATTATGTTCAGATGAGACTCCCATTGGATTGTTGGCCCGTGGATGGATCGGTGGCCCCCCCCTCCCCGGATCATGCTCATTCCGGAATAATGCATCTGGGGTCGATATGAACCAAATTTGACCCCAATCCAATCTCCTTCTCAGACGCCCCCGCCCCGCCCCCGCCGGCTCATTATCATTCCGGAATAATGAGCCTGTGTTTATTAGTCCCAGATCATTATGAACTCCAATTTATAATGTTCTAGAAATAGCGGACTAGGGTCAATATTCTAACATAGTGAATCCCAATTTGGAGGCGCGGGGCTGGGGGAAAATGATAATGAAAATCATTCCAGAATCGTGACTCTGGATTCTGAATATCCGCCTATGGCTCAGGCGACGCCCCTCAGCCTCCATTATTATCATTCCACAATAATAATCCAGGGCTCATTATTCCCGCGACATTATTAACCCCAATCCATATTCCCATAACATTATCTATTTGGGGTCGATCTGCCCAGAACATTATACACCGAAATTTATAATGTTCCGGGCGGGACATTATGAACCCCAATCGATATGTCCCGGAACATTAAAGCCCGGGTTCATAATGTTCCGGGGGGGGGACATTATGAACCCTGGTCAATAATCCCGGAACATTAAAAACCAAGGTTAATATCTTTTTGGGGTTCGTCCTGCCTGTCTGCGCTCATGCCGCGACCCTTCTCGCGGTGCTCATGATTCGGACCTTGGTGCAGGTGCAGGAGCTTTGCCCTGCGGTGTTCCCTCGAGCTCTCGTTGACGATGGGACCTTGCAGTGGATCGGTAAGGGCGTTGAGGAGAGCACTGAGCTGGTCAAGGCTACATGGGGAGTTCAAGAGTGGCATGAGCAGGCTTGGTCTTTTGGTGCAGCCTGTTAAATCAGAATATGTTGGCACGACCAGGGAGGCGCTGAAGCAGTTGTTGCCATGGGCCCGACTCCTTCGGTTGTCACGGAGGGCTCAGATGCGCAACCTTGGACATGACATGGTGGGCGGCAGAATAATTCGCACCGTGGCCAAGGGCAGGCTATCCAAGCTGCAGAAGCGCATGCGCCGTGTCAAACTGCTCCAGGCCACAGCTGGCTCCAAGGTCGGGACCATCTGGCGCGCTGGATTGCTGGCAGGTGCGGCGCATGACAGTTCGGTGTCTGGCGTTCCTGATTGCGAGCTGAGGAAGTTGCGGCAGACTGCAGGCGTGCTGGCAGGGGTGCATTCCAAAGGTGTGAGCATTACGGCGTATCTGGCCTCCCAGAAGGATCCTTGGATGGATCCCATCTTTGACGCGACGCTCAACATGGTCTACACGTGCGCTTGCTTTGTGTTCGAGCAGCGCCTGGAGATGGGGGGGCTGGAGCGTGCTTGGCGTGCTCCCTGTGATATGTGGCAAGGTCGTTCTCCAGGATGGCAGGGCGTGCGAGGTCCCATCGCTGCAGCTTGGCTCTCGCTTCGGCGCGTGGGTTTGGACGTGCTGAGCAGCGAGGTCACCCTCGGCGACGAGGGCCTTGCCATGTCGCCCCTCCAAATGGCCCCTAGGGGCGTTCGGGAGCTCCTTTGTCTGGGAGTGCAGCGGTGGCAGGGTCGTCGCATCCTGGAGCATCGCGCTGAGCATCTCGAAGGTGGAAAGACCGCGTGGATGCGCGCCCTCACGTTGACTATGGGAGGCAAGGCGGCTACCATCAAGTCTGCGCAGGTAGCTGGTGATATTCGTTGTCTGTGGTCTGGCGGATTCATGGCCGTGGAGAGAAGAAACAAATGTGGATGGCTTTTCTCTCCACTTTGTCCTCATCCTGACTGTCGAGCTCGACAAGACATTGGGGACCTGGGCCACATGCTCTACGGGTGCCCGAACTTTGCTCGAGCAGGGCGGTGCACGTGGATTGCCTCCTTGGTCCGAGGAGCTGGAACAACAACGCGTGATCGTATGTCTGAGGATGCTGTAAATTTCATGGGGCGCAGTAGTTTTCACCTGCTTAAGTTTTGAATTGGGCCCCCCCAGGCTCCTCCCAAGATCCCTCCTCCTGTCTGGGACCCTCCCACGTTCTTCTGGGGTGACTGGAGCTCGGATAAGGCTTTGTGGGAGCCCACTGCTGTCTTTGACGTGGCAGGGTATGCATAGTGCCTGGCCCGAGTTTAGGCGTTGCGGGTGGGCCGCTGCCCAGATGTATGATGGAAGCCTCCCTTTAAGAGCCGCAGATGGCCCCCCTCCCAGGCCCCATCCAGTCCGTTGGCCGCTCGGAGAGGCATGCGCTGCTGCGGGGGCTTCAGCTGCTCCCTGGTCTTCGTGTGGCTGTTTCGGATCTCCCTGGGGCCGTGCGTGAGGGGGCCGAATGGTCTGAGACACACGCCTCGGCCACGGCCACCCACGCTGATATTTGGAGGCAGATGTTCAGTATTGTTCGGAGCCACCCCTCCCAGAGGCCTCCAGCTTTCGAGTGGGTGCCAGCGCACCTCGCGCTTGAAGAGCTCCTCCAGCGTGGAGAGTGGCCCGTGTCGTGGTGGTTCGGTAACAATTGGGCGGATTTCTTTGCTAAGCTCGGCTCTGATCAGCCGTCAATCTCACGCAATTGTGCCAAGTTCTTTGGATGGGCAGTGGCCCAGAACGCTGCCCATAAGGATATGTGGGCGAACGGTTGGATGCCGTCCGTGAGCTCCCGAGGCGTCTCGTAGGCGCGGGTGGTCCGCTTTGGAGATTTCAGGACCATGATTTCCACATGCGCGTTTGTATGAGGGTCTGTCGTTCGTGCCTGGTCAGGGCTAAGACTGAGACCGCGAGAAAGCTGTTAGCCATGGGCAGCGCGCGTGCGTGCGACCCGTCCCCTTTGCAGAAGGAGAGAGCCCGTCTGGCGTTTGGCCCTGGCGGGTTGCATGCCTCTGGCCAGGCCCGAAGCGATCCAGGTGGCGATCTCTGCTGCGAGTGCGTTCCTGGATCCTGGACCTGGTCTGGCGGTGGCCCTGGGCCCTGGTCCTGGCCTGGGCGCCCCTGGGATTGAGCCACAGGGTCCGAGGCCCGAGGGGGAGGGGAGAGACTTTGAGTGCTTCACTGCTCTGGGGCACTCGATGGAGCAGGTGGGGCCGTACATTTTTTGTACCGCTTGTGTGTCCTGCTGTGCTCATCGTCTGGGGCCTAAGCTGCGCGCGGTATGTAAGCCACCAGCGTCAGGTTCCCTGCTCCAGAGCGTGAGGAGGTCTCTCGCGAATATCCGAGAGGGACTGCACCCTAAGACGGGCGTCGAGCTGGAGGGAGCATCCCCAGCGTAATCGTTTTTCGTTTATATTCGGGGCGCAGTCGGGTAAGCAGGCCGCGCCTCTGGTACTCGATACCTCGATACTTCCTCCTCCTCCTCCTCCTTTCATGAGGCGTGTTCGACTCGGACGCGTTCTCAGTGGCCCTCATCCCTCGGCCTTCCTCCTCCTCCTCCTCCTCCTCCTCCTCTTCCTCCTCTTCCTCCTCCTCCTCCTCCCTCTCCTCCCCCGCCACTAGGCCTCCGAGACGCACCGCTGCCTCTCCGCCTGGATGTCGTTCATCGTGGCGGTCAGGGCTGCGACCTGGGCAAGCCCAATCGCTCCGGGGTCGTGCCCGATGGCGGGGCTGCTGTCATATTTCGGGCGGGTGCTTCTTCTTTCCGGTCCTGGTCCCAGCGGATGCTTTGTATTTCTGGTCCAGTCTCGGCATGCGGGGGCCGTTGTCGGGCCCGCGGCGATCGGAAACCGATCTGGGGCGAAAGGACGGCCTCTGGGATGGAAAACTTCAACCCATCGGATCTCTTGCTTGGTGCCAGCCGGGTGCATGGCAGGGCCAGGGAGCATGGGCATGGCGAGCAACCCAAACCCCGTGCCTCGCATTTTGGCTTCACGACGTCGCGCCGTCCAGCCCCGTTCCCCAGGGCCGGCTTTCCATCTCGAGTCGTTCCTCGACCGCCCGGCGAGGCCCCCGGAGGCAGAGAGCACAGCATCAACCCGTCCGTCGTGGCTTGGCCGTCAGCATGTGCTACGAGCGCGGAGCTGTGGGAACGGCTGAGGCCCTCCTGGCCACGGGAGGCCTCGGCCACAAAGAAGTCCCCCGACCGAGATCCAAGGAACGGCTGCTCCTCCCTCCTCCCTCCGCCCCTTCTGGGCCTCAAGTGGACCTTAGTTCAGCGTCCGCACGGTATGGCACGTGGGAGTTCAGCTGTTTTTTTCAAACGCCGACCCGCTGTCTCGCATTCCCCTTCGGGAAGGTCTCGGAGGAAAGGGGGTGGCGTGAAGAGAGAGGGGTCTGGAGGAGAGAGGAGGAGCAGGAGCAGGGGCGGGAGGAAAAGGAGGAAATGTTGAAATGGGGGCAGTGCAAGGAGGAGCAAGAGGAGGACGCGGAGGAGGAGGAGGAGGAGGAGGAGGAGGAGGAGGAGGAGGAGGAGGAGGAGGAGGAGGAGGAGGAGGAGGAGGTCAATGATGGGGATGAGCATGAGGAGGAACAGCAAGAGGAACGACCGTGGCTGCTGCGATGGGTTTGTGCGGTGCCACCGCGCGCCGGGGCGGGCTGGAGCGGGCTCGCGACATGAGCCTATCCTTGGCGGTGAAGTGAGCGAAACGATGCTTGCCGTGCTCTTCGGGCGGGTCGTACTTTTTCACCTCGAGGTGGTGGTAGTATGCGAGGACCGTGGAACGGACGGCCGCGGCCATCGAACGCTCGGCGCCCTCCTCGGTGTAGATCTCAATGGGTCCCGAAGCAAGCCACTCCATCACGGTGCTATGGACGTGCTGTCGCGGGTGGGCAACCCAGTGAAGGAGCCTCAGGCGCTGCGCGTAGTGGTTGATCTCGCCCGTGGCGTCCAGGCAGCCCCATGTACACGGGATACGAAAAGGAAACACACGCATACGACAGCTCGTGTGCCATCCTCCTGCGAACGTGCGAGCCAAAACCCACCGCCACGCAGGGGGCACCTTAATCAGCGCCAGCTTCAGTACTTGCCACCTTGGAAATAGGTCCAAAGGTACAGCATCAACTCCGAGCTAAGCCGTCGGCCGCTTCTTGATGGTGAGGTGGAATGTGTGAAGAAACAGTGTTGCTTGTGATGTACTCGTGGGCGGCCTTCCTCCAGCGAAGCCGTCGCCGCGCGCGTAGCGGTGCCAGCAGATGCCTCGAGATCATGGTGCAATCTGGCAAGGGCGTCGATCGGCTTGTCGCTGACCGCAAAGAAGCAGCGCTGAGCGATCGACTGCCAGTTGCGCCAAAACTGCGGGCTCCACTCTTTAGCAACAGAGTCGGGCAGCCCCGCGCTCGCTATGGCCTCCTGCTCGGGCCTCTCGCAGGTGTCGCGCCAGGCTGGTTCCAGATAGAGCCCGCCGCCATAGCGCGCGTCGGCGTGGCGGCAATAGTGGGGGGCCAGGCGCCAATGGAGAAGGAACCCGATAACTTGAAAGACGATGGCGGTCAGCGAAGTACTTGGTGAAGAGGATGGAATTCCTTCATGTCGAGCTTCTTGGGCATCAGGTAGAACTGCGTGAAGGTGGGACAACGCAGCGAGGCAGATGGTGTCATAGTGTCGCGCATTGGCGTCGGCAGGGGCGGGTGATTGTCCTGTGGGCACCACGCGGTGCCACCAGTTCTCCGCGGGAGCTGCACCTGGGCCCAACTGGGCTCCTAGGTGCTTGCCGGCGCCCTTGATCTGGAGTCCCATGCCTAGGGGCATTCATACGGACATGAACGACTCGACCTCCGAAACCAGCCTCTCATCGGGGGCCTGCCGCAGAGGATTGAGGAAGCTTTTCTTTGGCGGCAACTGCAGGTTGCCCAGCTCGCGTGCCTTGTCGAAGCCCATGGCAACCTTCGGCAAGGCTAAGACGTTGCTATTGACCGCGCCCGTGCCATCGGCGCAAACGCCGACCGTTCCTTCAGCTTGGGCAGGAAGGGTGTCGGCAGTGGCGCGCTGAATGGGATCCCTCGCCGCTGCTCATGCCGAGCCAGAGAGAGGACATCTGGGCCAGCTCTGCGCAACCGCCCCGAGGCCTGCGATGCGGGCTTCGCCGTCGATCTGGGCGATGCTCTAGCAGAAGTGCCTGCCCCTCCTGGGGCCTGGTTGAATTTCATGAACGCGTGGGGCGACTTACGTGGTCATCAGGTGATTGATCGCGGGCGCGATGACCGTGGACTCTGTGAGTGTGCCCGCGGCGAAAGGCACCCGTTTCCCGAGTGCAGCGCGCCGCGTCGTCGGGCTCCGACCCTCTCGGGGCGAAGTTGAGGAGTGAGCGGCTGAAGCTCTCGGGGGCGAAGCCGAATTCGCAGAGATCCCAGGCGACGTCCTCGGGCAGGTCGACGCTGCCCTCAGCGGCCCGCCAGCGGGGGCCGAGTTGAGTGCAGCCCTGGCAGCGTGCGTCATCCAGGCAACGGTGGGCAGCGGGCGGCATGCCTCGGGGATGTCCGGGGGGATGCGGTCGTCGAGGGGCTGGTCGAGCTTGGCTTGCTGGTCGTGCTTGGCCGCGAAGATCGGTTTGCAGTGGTCCGTCAAAGCCTTCGTCATGCTTTTGGGGTCCTTGCGCAGGGCGGCCTTGATGCCCATGGGCTGAAGCCGCGAAGCGAAGGGCGCCCATAGTCGGCTCCGACGCTGGAGCATGCGCTGTTGCTTCATGATGTGCTCGAGGCCGCGCGTCCACTGGAGACGGAGGCATGGGCCTCCGTCCCCATCTGAGGGAAATTTGCACGTGGGCGGTGAATAGATACTGCCGAAGTGGCAAAGCTCGCCGCTGTTCAGAATGACACAACCACCCTCGATGCTCAGGTGTTCCTTTACCAGCTCCGTGTGCAGCATGAGGTTGGCCGCGGGTTTCGCGTCTTGTCTCTGCGCTCGAGAGATGTGGCGCATGGTGATGTTGCGTGAGCGATGACGGATCGCTGCCTTGAGCCTCCATGCATGGCGGTGTGGAAGTCCCTGGTGAGCTGCTTCGCCGCGTTGGTCACGTTGGTCTGCGTGTGCCGTGGGCGCTGGGCAAGAGAGCGGCCTTGCAGGCTGGGGAGTGATTCCGGGATATCTTAATTTCATTGATACTGCGGGACCCTGAAGAAGACCCCAGGCATGCATTGGTACCCGTCGTGCGCTGGTTCCGCCAACTTCATGAGTAGCGATGAGATGCAGTGGTCACTCATGCGGGCGCCGCTCAAAGTCGCCGCCGATTGGCCCGCGTGTAGATGAACGGACAGGCGTGGGATGACATGGGCAGGGGCTGACGAATGCTCGGTCAAAGCTCGTGGCCATCAGCGCGCGGCGGTCGAGCCTCGTCGGTTGGCCGTTCTGAACCTCCACCGCGCTACCAACCAATCGCTTCAAGAACGCATGTTGGCGAAGGTCGCCCGACGGAGCAGCGATGTTCACGTCGGGCGAGGGGGCCGATGATGAGGGCGCGCTTGCCAGCGGTGTAGTTGGAGACGCTGGGGGCTCGTCGCGCGGGTCGTCGCCGAGCGCCGCAAAGGGGTCTGCCGCGAGGAGCGGTCGCCGCCCATTTCTGCGCACGGGTCGATTAAAGCTGGAGATCGGGGCGATGCTGAGGTTCGAGGTCGTGGTCGTGAGCGTTCGCGATGACGGGGTGGCACTCTTCACCGCGGAACATCTCGATGGGGCTAACGCGGCCGTTGGTGAACGCGCGATGGCGGTGGGCAACGGCGTCGGACATTTTGTCTGCCCTCGCGTGGTGGCGGGGGAGCTGAGGGGGGCGGCTGCCAGTGGGCGGCGAGCGCGCTGAAGCCGCCGGTGCAGCGGCCAGAGAGGTGCCAGATGAGCACGTTAATGGCAAGGAGGTGGACATGGAAGAAGAGCTCAGTGAGCCACAAATAATGCTGGCGTCCGACTCGGCCGTGGGCCCTGAGCTGTCGGGCGTGCCGGGGGCCCTTGGCTCGGCGATTTCATCCGCGAATAAAAGGGTGGTCGGGAACCAGGAATGCCGCGCCACCTGTCCCCATCCTCTCGGACCCGCTGAAGAGCGCGATGCGCGGGCGCGGGGGGGGGGGGTCCAGCGGGCGGCGTGGGCGCGATGCGTTGCCGTGAACTTCTTGCGCTGCAGTGATGGCCTTCTGCTGCGGGTCGGTCTCGGGGGTCGGGGTCCTCTCCTCGCGGCGGCGCGGGTTGTGGCGGATCAGGCCTCTGGCGTTCTGCGCGGCAATGCGCGCGCCGCGAGCGAGGGGCGCCGCTGAGGTCCGCGGGGCCGAGCAAATGTCGCCCCCGGTGCGTGCCGCGATCCTCCGCGAAGGTCGACTGAAACTGGGCTGTGACGCGCTCCTCGTCGAGGCCGTGGCGGACGGCGGGCTGCTTGTTGAATGCCGGCCTCGCGCCGGCATCGACGGCGCCGCCGACCTCCGGCTCGGCCAGCGGGGCGCCGCTCAGGACGACGCGGCCCTTTGGTTTGCGCGCCTGGAATTGCCTGTCGGGGTTCCAGTCGCAAGGGGGGCGGTGAAGACCTTTTGATCTGTTTGGGGCTGCGATGAGCACTGACGCAGAGGGGGGCTCACTGCCCCGCGTCGGCGTTGATGGATCTGTCGCGCCGTCGGCCGCCAGCGGGCGTGAGGGCTCTTGCCCGCG